GGGAAAGAGGGAGCTTTGCATATTTACATCTTTTCAACTTATAGTCTATACCTATACGTTCATGTTTACTGAGATTCAAGTCCAGGATCTGAATCCAAAGGAGGGATGAGCCTCTCTCCGCTCCCCACATCCCAGGTAAGCAGCTTGAACCCTGAGCCCATGGGTATGCTGAGTATTTGAGGATGGAGAACACACATTCCTCTTCAGTTTTGATGAAAACCTTCAGCCTAAACACAAAACCCTTTTCTTAACAGAACTAACACATTTTCTTGATCAAAATATCTTCAAACCAACACGCCACCTCCCCAACCAAGCTTCACTGTAAACCTCTCCAGCCAGCACTGAAAGAAAGCTTAATCAGAGGTCTTTTTAACGAATTCCTAACAACTGCAGGGGATGGAAAGCTGCCAGCAAAGTAAATTGTTAATTCTCAAGCTTTACCTTGTCAGGATCAGTTTTCAAAATAATAACAATCAGGAAAAGATCCTAAAAGTCTTTCATTCAGAATTTGTAATTAAGTAGTGAGAAACTGATTCGCATCCTCTACAACTACACACATTCATCATTTCTGGAGGAGTCGGAATGCAATACACTTTTCAGCTCAATATCCTCAGAAAACAACACTTAGGCAATCGTGTTATAGGTGTGACTACTGTCCACCCAACTTTAATATTTTTTTATTTAATTGATGATTTCAGTGATTTTGTTCCTGTAAAGCTATTTGAAGACAGGCTACTCAAGGAGAGGCCATTATTAGCACACTCACGATGGGCAATGCTGCAGCATGAGTTTGTGTAAGACATCAAAGAAAGGCAGAAGATATTATAAATGCTTTAATTACAGGAAAATCTTCCACCAAGAGCCATGTTTTATTATATATCAGAAAACCTATTCAGCCATCAATGTTTCTCTCTCATACCTTACAGATTAAAGCCATTTGTAACTTTTCATTATATTAAAGTATTCACGTTTCCTTTTTTTTTTTTTTAATAGCACATTCACCATAAAGAATAATTTATAGACAACTGGTTTATTTTGTTCCCAAGCTGACAAAGCTGTTTCTCTTACAGGGTCCAGGAGAGCAGGAGCTCTGTTTTACCACCACCTCCTATGCTGAGGTACTTCTATATTGTTTGAGTTGACGTTTAAAATGTTGTCAGTGTTATTACAGAATCACTAAATAGTGTAAAAATGCCCTGCATTCAGTACCTATCACTAACATACATACACTCTACCGCCCTTAGGTCTTCTGCATGAAATGAACAGCGTGAATATACTTGCAGATGATGATAAAAAAACCCTTTTCAAGTTGTAAGCACAATACATGGATAAAACCACGCATCTTTATGTCTGTGTAAGACCTTGTACGCCCAGCTGTGTTGGACATCTCTAAGTGAAAGCCCTGGATCACGCATTCACTTCAGATACACGCAAGTCTGCGAGTCTGGCAATCCATCAGCTGGACAGGGACTACTTTCTTCTGGCTTTCTAGCACAGTTTGACCACATCACTAAATGCTGAGACTAAGTCAGCAGATGTTCAATGCTCTCGGTTACACTAGTACACTTTTATGTTACCTAAAGCTGATGTTCAGACAACCTTCAACATCATATATATACACCTATAACACAAAGATGTCTATAGAACAGGCCCTGAGTATGTAAGATCTGCTTTGAAAAATGTACCATTCATCACCGCACATTCTTATTAGACCAAGCTTCTTGCTCTTCCCCGTTAAGTCCAAGGTGTCTTATTTTGCACATTTCTTTCCCCTGACACTTCTCCGACTTTGTGTCACACAGTGCTTGTAGCTTTAGCAAGCCAGGGAGAGCACAGCTGCTCAGAATTCCCACAGCCATCCCTGCTCCAGTGAAGCAGAGAAGCTCTGTAATGGCTTTTGTGTAAAGCTTACACTGTTCTGGCTTCATTTCCAGGCAGGCAGGGGTTCATCAGATGACAAAGCTGGCAACACGTAGGATCTAGTACCCTCTGCTATCTTGACAGCACATCTACTATATTCAGAATGTAGAGAAAGGTACAGCCAAAGCATATTTATTATTGAATATGACAAAGGTCAAAAGCTGGGTCAAACATACCACGGCAAAGATCAGTTCCCTGCCCTACTATGTGGTTAAATGCTATTTATGAGATTACCAGACTGTCTGTTATGCAATCCAAATACCCAAGGTTTAAGAATGTGATACAAGAAGCTTTCCACCATGTCAGTGGTTTGACAGGAGCCTCACCTGGAGGCTTATAAAATTACTCCGTCTTGTGAGCAGTTATTTACAACTGGTACCTTACTTAAAAGTCTCAGAGAAGTCCCCCAAAACAAAATGAATGGCCTTTTAGGCTTAGGAAAAGCCTTTTTCAGGGCGAAAGTGAAATGGAACCTTACTTGGCTATTTTACATTTTTATTGTACTACAGCTGAATAGTTGTGAAGAACAGGCTCAGCTTTCTGGATTCTGTCCCAAAGATCCACGTGCATTCATGAAACAACAAGAAGTGAAACACAACACAACACTGAAATCCAAGCAGGTCTCATGTTTATTGAAATATCTCAAGCTTAATAAACATGATGCACATAACTCTTGCTGTATCACATACCCTCACAACTGCTAAGTTAGCTACTTTGAATTCCTACAGAAACTTCCTTTCAGCACAGCAAGGTGAAGCAAATATGGCTGCTACAAATATAAAGCAAACTTAGAGGTCCTGCTAGGAATCACAACTGAAATATCATGAACCACTTTTTCCTTAAACAAAGCCTGAAGATTCCCTGAGTCTTCACACATCTACATTTGGCGTGGAACTTTTGTGCAATTCAGAGGAGCCAAAGTCCTCTGCATAGGCAATGGAAAGAGCAAGGCACCTATACTACACACAACTAGAGCTCCACAGTCGGATCCCTGAAGCAGATGTGAATCCTTTTCCCCCATTCACCAGGGGCTTAGACCCATTTTGAAGTGGAAACAAATGGAAACTGCCATTAATACTGCCAGGCTTCACCATGGTGTTGTACAGTTCCTGAACACAATGGTGGCAAGCACCACATAAGCAGCTAAGAAGTAAACAGATCTTCAAAGCAGCAGATGATTAATGGGAAAAGTCCATGCAAATTAAGTCACTCAAGCTACAGAATTAATGTTTTGGCTCTTCCCTTGCCAGTAGTATACTGAGGAAATTTGTTTGCTAGTGGTCAGTGCAAAGAAAACAAAACACGAGTATGTTACATCATTCTCCTTGAAAGCCATAACCTATTGACAAAGCTAACTGAAAGTGGTACTTCTTTTAACCGCTTCTCTCGTTCCAGGAATCTGCAAGGGCAAATAACAATCCTATCCATAGCTGGTACGTGAAACACGGAAGGCTTCAGGGACACCATTATATCAAGAAAAATGAATCAGTCCCAAAATAGGAGATTTAAACTGACAGTGGTGATCGTTGGCTTCATAACAGTTCTTTTGGGCAATACTGAAAAAGAAATTCATCTGATGTAGCTAGCTTGTATGTGATGGCTAAAATAATAAAACAACAAAAAGTCACTAAGTGCTTTTTAAAGTACCAGCACCAAATGGGTCACTGCAGTACAAGGAGTACTTACTTCTGAAAGGTACTCAGAAATGGCGAGGTACTGAGAAATGGCAGTGTTTTATGCACAGTGAAATACTTATCGGTTTAGTTGTCAAGCACCTGAGGTGCTGCATGGAATAACTTGTCTTTCAGACATGTCACTAAATTTGTATGCACGTGACATACTCCTTCTGTGCAAAGTGACACTGCTGTTTTTTCGAGTACCATGCCACTGTGTGCAAAATCAGCAGGATACAATGAGGATTTCTGCAGGAGAAATAATACTGAGGGGAAAAAAAAGAAACACAAACCCAAATATTAATCCAATTCAGTAGTCATTGCTGGCATTTTAAAAATGCATCATAAATAAACAATGTAGCATTATTGCCAGAAAAGCACGTGTTCCAAAAAGACAAATTCCTGGTGAACTAATACCATGTTGGTTTAGAGATACTTCCTAATCATGTTAATTATTTCATTATACATGCGGTAAGGTGCATCAAGGCCCCAGATGAAATCCAAATGTTCCCATTCTGGAATGTTTTTGTGGTAAACCAAGTTTGTGATCTGAGTCAGCAGCATAGCAACATCCTTTGGGTCTGCAAGCCAGTCCTGTCCACCAGTCCACACCGCGGTTGGTACAGTCATCTCTTTTATTTTGTAGAAAGGGGGAGTAGACTGAGGAAGGGGAAAGTGAAAGCAAAAGCATTAGGAAGAACAAGTCTACACTGCCGAGTAACATACTAGCAACTGCAAGAAGAATGTGTCAGACTCTCATTTTCTCTCCCTCTCTTGAGCAGCTAGAGATGAAGATGGAGTTCTGACTAAACAGAAAATGTAACTTCAAGAGTTCTGCAGTATTACAGCACACGTAGTGGTAAGGATGTAGTCTGAGAAGTTTACAGGACAGCAGGGTAGCAGAAGTCTCAGAGAATGCATCCTATTCAAGGTGCTTCTAAACCATGATCAAATACTAAAAGTGATTCCTACTCTGAAAATATGCTAATGCAATCTTTCCCAGTCACTGAAGTGACAATAGGCAAAATATTTTTAGTATTGCACACAGCAATTTAGAAAAAAACATGTGTGGAGATTAAACAGGCTGAAGATAAACAATACACGTGAACTGACAGTCCACGCCTTATTGTGAGAAGTGCAGTGGGATCTCATGATCTAGCCAGGCAGGACCACCCTCAAGAAACAGTGCGCCATCACAATTTTGTATCCAAGCAGGAGCTCCATACTGACTAAGGACTACTTCAGAGCTCTTCAATTCTATCTTCTTCAATCCTTTTTGGGTTTTTTTTTGGAAAAGACAGACTTCCAGTTGGTTACTGGACAACACTGGTGGCTCTTTAGCATGCAGCATAAACACAGCACCCAGAGAAGTGCTCAATGACTTTTTTTGTGACACTCAAGAATTATATCCATAAAAGATGTCTACCTGGTTGTAGTGAGCCATATTTGCAGCCTTGCTTCCCCAGTCATAAGCTTTGAGTTCCCCAGTCTTCACAGCCTAGAAATAAATAAATATTCACATATACAAAGAAGAACTGCAACACCTGAATGTACAGCAGAACACATTGCTTCTGAATAGATGACCAAGTTAAGTTACAAGATCGCAAGTAGCACTGACCACTGCTTCCATGGCAAATGTCTTCTCTTTGTCAACCTACTAAGCAAGCTTCAGGCACACTGGTATGAATTCATGCACTGAGGTAAAATTCAAAATACACTAATAAAATAGAAAATTAAGCCAAGCAGAATAAAACAGAACAGAAAACTTGCTGCTTTTCAGTGGCTAAAAATACAACTTGTAATCAAAACAGGGTTTGCTGAAAGGGGAGCAAATACTTGTTACAGCATCTGTGAGTTAAGTTATTCCATTGTATTTTTTGTTGGCCTAAAGTACTTACAGTTAACCTATCTTCAAGGAGAGTGGTGAGCCACTATAAGTCAGTATCATCAAAGCAGCTGCAGTGAACAGTCGCCATTCTGACAACTGGCAGTTCCAGAATTTCACTTGGACTATGCTACATAGATATTTTGGCATTTTATTCCATTTAGTATCAGAGACATCAATATCCTACAAAGAAGCTAAAGTCACAAACATTTTAGAGTCCGGAAAGTCTACCTGGCTCCAGTGGATCATGTTTTGTACAGATGTCCCTGCAGGGCAGTGCGTTGAATATACATCCACTCGGCTCTGCAACAAGATAATTAACATGGTTTACTCCTCACAGTGCAACAATTATTGCTTCTTGAACAACAAACAGAAAATTTTCCATTCCTACTAAAACTGTTATAAACAAAAGTTAACTGGAGACAAACATACAGATGAGGTAAAAGGTTCAAATGTTTTGGGGATTACTTATAATTAACTGCAGAACTTTAAAACTGAACTTTAAACCTGATAATGGTAGCCCTTAAGCATTTTTTATATATTCAGAATATCTTTTAAAAAGTGACAGTATTGTAAGAATTGAGAGCACATTGACTAATATTTAGATAGACATCCAGAGAAACCTTGCATTACTCTGCATCTAAACTAGTTGCTGTCAGTCCAAAGTCATTCAGAACTTCATAAACTTTGAGTTTAGAAGTACAAAATATCCAGGGGAAACTTGGAAAAATATCCAACACTAAACCCATGAAAACTGTATGTACTGGGCAAGCAAATATCAAAAAACCTGCACTTTCACCTTGATATAAAATAAAATGTTCACTTTTGCACAAAGAATGGTGAAACTGCACTTTCACCTTGATATAAAATACAAAAAATGTTCACTTTTGCACAAAGAATGGTGAAAAAAAAATAATGCTAATTCTTTCTCACTCCAGTAAAAAAATCCTCAGTCTTCATCCACCTGCAGGTAAACTGATACCAGCTTCTACTGATTTTAGAGAGTCAGAAACACTTTAAGAAGCATGAAAAAAGGCAGTCTCACGCCAGCTGCTGTTGACTAGCTTTTACATAACAGAACAAGTCATATGAACAAATCCTGTGGAACCAGGACCACAGATGAATCCATTAGCAGGGTCAGAAATTGGTCCCAGAGAAAATAATTTCACACTTCCACTGAGAGAGCAGAAAACTTCAACAGTTCGCTTGAAAATGTTTGAAAACTGTATCTTTATTCCTCACTTCCTTGCGAAAGGAATTAAATACTTGCACCATCATATTAATTCACTTCTCTTGCCCACTTCCCCAACAGATCTAAATTAATGTATTTTAGCGAGCTTTCTAGTAACTTTTTTAAAAGTTAATTCTATCCACCCAAGCTGGGCAACTACATCTATACCAAGGAAAGCTATTCATCCACTCAGTATGATGAAGGTGACATTATTTTTTTTTTCTAATTACATGTAAAGGACAATCAGTACAGTGATACACAGTCAATACTGTGTTAGAGTTCACAATAAATCAGCTATTAGAAGTCATCAAAACATACCATATTCAAGTTTCTCTCATTAAAACCACATAGAAGAAAGAATAAGTTGCCACAAAGGTCATCAAGTATTCTGTGGGTACAGACATGGGTAGCAAGCCACTTCAGCAAAGAATTCTGAGGGAGGAATTGTTTCTTTCCAAACATGTCCTACAAAATAACAAACACATAGGACAAACATTTTATTGCATAGAATGATCGAGTTTTATTTTTATACTACAATATTCTAAAGGGAATTATTTCCATCTGCACTGGTGACAGATGTGTCACATGAAAATTATTTATCTCCTTATCAACCCTGTTTAGAGTCCAATGGGAAGGTCATGGTTAGTGCTTCTGCTACAAATCAGACAGTCCATTACTCCCAGAAAAATTACAAGGGAACTGGGACCATCATTAAAGAAATCCAAATCTAACCTCAAATTTTAATCAGTTTTAAATTCAGTATATTACAGTACAGCTTTGTATTGGGTTTGCATGGCAAGGTTTTGGTAGCGGGGGGAGGGACATAGGGTGGCTTCTGTGAGAAGCTGCCAGAAGCTTCCCCCATGTCCGACCCGAAAAAAACCGCCGGCCCAAGGACCCGCCCCGCCGCTGGCCAAGGCCGAGCCCACCAGCGACACCTCTGTGATAATATAATTAAGAAAAAAGGAAGAGGGAAAAAAAGCTGCACAC